TATGGAAAATCTTAATATATTTTCTTTTATCAATCCTCCAATATATTACCTTTTTTTTCTTTTGAATTAATATTTCTATTGTGAAATATTAAGTTATATAAAACGTACAGTTACAATACAATTGATCGCTAATTACAGTTTATTATTATTTATTCATTCATTTTTTATATGCTCGTAAATTTCATATGGATTTCCGGTTTTATTTAAAAATCATAACTTCAGGGAAAAATATTTGAAACATTTTCTCTCTTTCTCATTATTATCTTTTTAATAATTTAATTAACATTATTTATTGAATCTAGCATTTATTTCGTAAGCATAGAGGCTTAAATGTATTAAATTACTATTAATTTTAACAAAAATTTGTTTCACATTCATATAAGCATAGAGATTAAACAAACTCTGATATTAAATCTTTTTTCAAAATAATACATAGAAATTACATAAAGATTACATGTATTTTTTGATGTCTCTTAAATTTAACATGATGCGAAACCATAATTTAACAAATTTTAAATTTGTCATGTACACGCTGACGTCAACTTGTAAATAGCAAGTCAGAAATGTAAGTGAATCTTTCTATCAAAACTTAAAAAAAATTTTCATATCTGTTTTATTCTTTTTTTTTGCTTATCTTTTTTTTAAATTTAATTTAAACGTTTGTATTAAAAAAATCCCTATAGTCAATTTTTTCAATTTTTTAAAATTGGAAAGAGCTGAATTTGCAAAAAATTAAATTGCAAAGCGTAATTTCACAGATAATGCCTATAGAAAGGATGGAAAATTGAAAGTGCAGATGAAAATGGTAGAAAGGATTGTAAAACATGCCATTTCATAAATATATTTGTGTTAATAGACAGAGATATCCGAGAAGTCGTTAACATTTTATGAGTTACCGTTTTTGTCATATTTTTTTTTCCTCTCATAATGGATTAATATATCAGGTACATTACTGTTTCCGAAGGTCTTTTTTTAAATTTTGAATCATCAGAGGAAATGATTTAATAAACACCATTTTTTAATTTATCTAAAAATTGCTCTGTTTGAGTTGAAATTTTTGGACAAATTAAAACATGGGGTTTATTAAATCATTCCTCTAATGATTCCAAAAAAAAATACGACCTGCAGAAATAGTACCATACCCGGTATATATAATCCATATATTAAAAACATTATTTAAAAAAATTAGAACATAAATGCGTTTGATCAAAAAATTTAAGAATTATGATAAAAAATTTTTCTGCTTCAATCTTTCATGCCTTATTTTACTTTTTTTTAATGCATTAATATTGTTTCCTAATGATGTTGAGAACTAATAATGTAACGTCGGAAATTGCAAATTATTAATTGAATAAATAATAAATTTTCTTACATATAACAGTAATAAATAATAACAAACAATGGTATAGTAATGATAACAATAATAATAAATTAACAATTGATGCTAAATAATAATAATAATAAATAAACAATATTAAAATAACAATTAATAATAATAAGTGATAGTAACAATAATAATGATTAAGCAGTGGTAATAGAAATTTATAAACATTTAATAATGAATAAGTAGATTTCAAACTTAGCTGTTCTCATCATAATTGAATAATATAATTAAACTTGATGAAAATGAAGAATTCCACTTATGGGAAGCTCATTATTTATAATCGCTTAGCTTTAAAAAACCGTTCAATTTTAAACCTTTCATAATTTCATTTGTCATACTTCTTTCATCAATCCTTCTGCTTCTCAAAATATTTACAACGACAACTTTACGATCATCTGCTTGTCATTGTAATAACAGCCGCTTTACTGATGCAAATAATGTTTATCAATTTTGGCAAATTTTTATGATAAAAGTTCTGTCGAAACAGTATTCTTCAAATGACTCAATAAATTATATCCAATTTTGCATATTTTAAATAAAAATTGCTGCTTAAAATTTTTTTTAAAAAAAGTGCCTTGCATTTCTCCAAGTGACAGTTTTATTGGCAAATATCACTTTCTTCTTCTTCTTCTTCTTCTTCTTCCTTTCTTTGTCATATTTCCATATACATTTTAAAATAAAATGAAATTTTAAAAACGAAAAAACCTTTCACAATGATATATTTGATGATTTGAAATTAATTTCACATTTTTACACGATTTCATCCTACCCGAGAAATTTTTTCTTGACACGTTTACATGTGAATCAAAACGATCAATTTTACTGAATGTAGAATCTTTTTCATGCTTGAAAAAATTTATTGCTATGCATAAGCATAGCATCCATGGCTCTCATTAAAAATTATAAATTTTCTATGAATGTACAAAAAGCTTAGTATTATCCAATTTTTCATTCATTATTATTGATTGCTGACTTTTTCTCATTAAAATTCCGTTTTCTTATTTTTGCTATCATTTCAATATTGACATTAATATTGAACCATGGATAATAACAATCTTAGAAATGCGAAAAATACTTCTTTCATCTCATAGCTATTGTTTATTCAATTGAAATCATTATTATCGTCCATCCTACTGTTTACATTTGGCATTCCTTATCACTTTTTATTTCTCGAATATCACATTTAATTAGTTCACTTTTTTTCGTTTAACATAATAATTGCAACACATGCAAAAATTAGCAACATTAAATTGGAATAGAAAATATCAAGTAAGAAAAAAGAAGGATGCAATTAACAAGGACGAACTTTAGGAGAGGATATAGAGCTATTAAATGGATTAATTAATTATTTACATCAGTGTTTGTAAAATTCTTTTTCTACAAATATATAAGCAAATAATATAATTTGTTATTTAATATTTTAAATTAAATTGTAGTAATTTAATTTGAGGTGTATTAATTTCATATATTTGTAAAATATGTGACAGATTCATTAGACGAAACCATTTGGAAGGGAAGATTTTGCAGCAATAAATGTGTCATAATTTTATTATACATTTTAATTATTAATGCAAATTTTTATATTACACTGCAAAATTTTCAATTTGAAATAATATGCAAACAAAATAGTTCTATAACAGTCAAAAAGTTTTAACAATTGATTAAATCTTTTTTTTTTATTTGACATTTTGTTATTTTTTAAAAATTGTATAAGCGTCTTTGAGCATTTTGTTATTTTTTTTTAAAACAATATTATATGCAGAATGACAGTTTTAAATTCCTTCTTTATTTTTTTTTTTTGTTGTATTTCTTTTGCAAAATTTTTTCGATAAATTGTTGTCTTTGGAAAGTGTATGTGACAGCTATTGGAAGTAAATGGAGCAGTCACTATCCATTTCCATTTTCTCCCCTTCTTTTTTGTTCCCCTTATTTTCTTCCAATGTGTTCGTTTGTATGTTTTCAAAAAAAATTTTTTAAATAGTTACATTCATCTCACAATTTAGTTTCAAAAATTTTTTTTTACTTCCTTTTATAAAAAATCATTTTTTTTACTCAAATGTTAGTTATATCATTATCATAATAATAATTATTATTGTTATTATCTTTGCTCATATCATCTAATAATGATTTCATTGTTTCCTGATTTCATTCACAGTTCATCTTCGATATTGTTGGTAATTAATTCATTATTTTCTCAAATTTTATCTTCTTTCTCATCTTTATTGAATGAAACGAAAGGTTGATTTGAAAGGAAGAAAATGGAAGAGGGAGAAAAGATAATCTAGAAATTAGAGATATCATTAAATCTCGTGTGTATTAAATAATTTTATAAATTTAAATTTTCTGAAATCACAATTTCACCTGCAATACAATCCATTATATTTAATAAATTTTGCTAAAATAGAATGATTAAATCCCGATTGTACCAGTATACTTTATCATAGGAATAAGAGAAATTCTTGTAATTATATTTGCACATTTTTCTTTATTTAATTGTTTTTTGCAATGTCAAAGCTATGGACAACTTAGCTTTTTAGTTTTGTAAAATAGCTGTAAGATGAAAATTATTCCCGTAATAGTGTATGCAAAGTGATCAATAGGAACGATTGAGTATCTCCTGAAGCAATCGATCGAAATGTTTTAATCTAAAAATTATTCTTTCAAGTGATTTCATTGGTATTTCTTACAAACAGATCAGAATTAAAATATCGTCTGAATTATCCGTTAAAAAATAAATGAAATAACGATAATGGAGTCAGGAGCAGTAGTCACTTTGCGTTTATTTTTGAATTCATTGACTTGATTAAAAAATTAAAATTAATTGTATTTTTTTCTTTTTGAAGGAAAAAGAAAGTGGAGCGAAACATTGTATAAAAAGGACGAAACTTCAAAATTAAAAAAAGAAAAAAAGGATGCATTTATAGAGAAACAGTAAATGTTTGCTGATGTGGCAACATCAGTGAATTGCACAGTTACGCACCATCAATTTCTGATCACAATATTTGGCTTATAATTTATTTAAAATTAATTCCTATACAAGCAGTATTATTTATTTACTATTTTTATTCCTCTCTCACGATTTATTGATCTATTTTCACCTATTATTTTGATTAAAAGCAAGAAATTAAAAAGAAAGGGAAAACGTACAACAGTTCAAAAACTTTTTTCTTTCGTTTCGTCGTCTGGTTCTTTTCCTCATTCGATTCGACTTATTGATTATCAGTCAACAATTTAAATTTCAAATTTACTGTTTTGGATTTTAATTACGCTTTGGTAAATTGAAGTGTTGAAAGTTGGCGAAATTGCACTTAATTAATTAATTTGTGGTAAGTCCATCTATTTTTTATCTTATTTATCCATTTATGATGATTTCTTTGCTAATATAAGTAATATAATTAAAAGAATTCCAATCGGTTTTTTTTGAGGAACTTCTTGAAAAGATAAATATTATGCATGAAGTAAATGCCTGCATTTTTATGGATTTAAAAAAAATCAATTTTCTGAATGACTATAATTTCATTTGTTTTACATCGCTTTCTAATTTATCAATGCATATATTTTTAGGATTAAAAAAGGGGAAGGAAAAAATAGCTTTCCTCCTTTTGCACAAATAACGATGCCAAGTGCTGATGATGTATTTCGACAGTTCGAAATTGAGTTGGACGCAGGTCGTGAACCGATCTTTCATGGTGATGAATTAATAACTGGTAAATTACGAATTGAACTGAAGAGATCGATGACCATACAAGCCATTAAATTACAATTTAAAGGCCGCGCTGCGTATATAAAAAGAGATTCCTCAAAAGGCGCTGAAATTGAAAAGGTATGAAAAATATGTTTTAGCATCTTTTGTCTGTCGATTTAAATTTTTGACCATTAATCCAAAATTCTCCAGGATTTAAGATTCGAGTGTCTTCTGTAATCTATATCAGCTTTGGGAGAATTTTATTTTAAAAATTTTTGCAAAAGCTAAAGAGTTTACAAACTTTATCAATCCACTTTTATATTCATGCTTCCAAAATATATTCCTCTATTGTTTGCAGGTGTATTTTGATAGAGACTTCACATTATTGGAAAGACCACCTGGGCGACCGGAACCGGGACATTTTCCATGGATCGCTGATTTCTTATACTGTTTGCCATTCGAATGCCTGTTACCTCTTGGTTGTCCAACTTCATACGAAAGTCCTCATGGATTTATCCGATATTTCATTCGGGCTACTGTTATCGAAGAAGCTGGAACTGATTCGGTAACTAATATATTTTATAAAATTGAAAGAGATTTCGGAAAAAATTTTGTTGCAATTAGAAAAAAGTTTTAATGAATTTATCTTATCATTTGTATATATTCATATTAATCTATCAGATTTTACCATCTACAATCTACAGTCTGATAAAAAAGTAGTCATTTTAGCGCGAATATATTGCCAAAAAGCCGATCTCAGTAATTGCACCCGTGGAATCATTTATGGAATTAGCCGCACAACCGATTGGTGCTTCAGAAACAGTATCGTTTGGTGGTTGTTGTTGTCGTGGAAAATTGATCGCTGAAGTACGTTTACCGAAATCTACGTATGCACCAGGTGAAACAGTAATTGGTTCTATCAAAATTGATAATCGACATCCAAGACATATCGTTGATCAGGTAAAAACATCATAATATTTTAAAATTATATAATTTTCGAAATATCTACAAAACTAGTAAATGACTTTTTTATTTAGATGGAGCTTCGTTTAGTAGATCGTGTGCAGTGTGTTGATTCCAAGAATAATAGTACATTGCCAAATCGAACTTTGCTTATACGTCGGCTTGAGAAACACGATGCTGTTAAGTCGAAAAGTCTGTTACAAAAAGATGAAGTCTTTTTCTTGCAAATCCCTGCTTTAGCGCCAACTATAGGTTTGTTTTTTTGCAACTTTTTTTCTAAAAAAATTATTTATATTATTAAGTAATTTATTCGGACATTTCATCTTATCATGAAAGAAATTATGACTTACTGCAGAATATATATTTCGGAAACTTCATGAATGCTAACAAAAAGTAACGTGGGATCTTCGATGAATACATGTGAGTGATTGTCATACTTGAACAAAATAACACTGTTTGAGATTAATTTTATAAATTTCAGGGATAAAGTTACATAAATCAAGTGTTACTAATAATACTGCAACGACAGACATTGATTTTACAATGACGCCAGATCATCAGCCAGTACCAAATTCCACCGCTCTCTTAGTCAAATTTCAAGAATCTCCAAACAGTGTAACTTTGAGATTCCGAAAGAAACCCTTTTTGCGGGTTGAATATGCTATACAAGTATGTTTACTGGTTTCGCCGTATTATCCAAAGTTGTTGTTGGTTGACAGGATAAGAATTCAAAAAATCTATAATAAATAAATTCAACAATTTATCGCTAACGGGTAGATACTGAAATATTTCTGTTTATAAATGAAATTTTCTACTTCGTTTATATTCCATACATCGCTTGAGTTATTAATCTCACTACTTCATTCAATTTTACTGTAAACTTTAGTTTTCAATATTTAAATTTGCACAAATTACAGTTATCGCTTGGTGATTACTTATTGCTGGAATTACCGATAACAATTTTACCATTGCCATGTCGAGGTAATAATATCAGTTATCAGCCATTTGTGGGTGGCGCACAACCAATACCGGAAAGTGATGAGTCAGGAAAATTTATTTATGGTGATGGTTTCATGTTTACTCCTCAATACAGTGTACTGATTCCATCTGCCAGTAATTATTCATCCAAAGGTAGTGTTGTTTCAAATTCGGGAACAGCAGCGGCAATAGCAAATGCAGCACATTCAAACGGTAACACTGAGAATGGTACCAACAGATGATGATGATGATAATAAAAGATATCATGAAAGGGTGATGATATGTAAAGACTGATAGCAATGATCTATGAATAGATTCTTTAAATACTATGTAATGTTGTTAAATGATGAAAATAACGCTACTCATTAATCTACAACTAATCAGCGTTTACTGACTAATCAGTTCGATCATATTCACTTTCATGATTTATTATTAATTTCATGTTAATGAATTTTATGATTAGTTTTGTTGCATAACGCCAAAAAGATCTACTGAGTAGGAATTATGTTTTAAAAAGAAATTTCAAAACTAGAAACTTAAAACATCTGCTACTCACTTCATGCTAATTTTACATTCTTTCATACTTCTTTCTTTTCGCTATTTTTATTGCATATTAAACTTTTTTTTTCACATAATCAAATAACAAAATATCCCCTAAATCTAAACAATATGTCGTTCGTAAATCATACTGTTTTATTTTATATCTGTTAAAAGATACATAAAATCTTATGAGTTGCTATGTAATCGAGAGCTGTTTGTTTACTCCACACAAATGCTTTACGATATCCGTAATGTCATTCATAGATATAACCGAAAGAAGTTCATATCACTACTCGAAAACCATCTTACTAAAACAACCCCCTTTTAAACATCGATGTTTATGTGTCATTAGTGAAGAACAATTATATGATAAATATCAACAATTTAACGAAACAGTTCGAGATACGCCAGGAAGAATAAAATCAATAAATTTTTAGCAAATATCACACATATATAAAATCTGCTTGAAAAGCATCCAGTATTTTCGTTTTGATCAATGTAATTTAATAATCATCTATGATAAATTGAACAATAAGCACCGAAAATTGCACATGAACATTCAACTTGAATCAAGACTTTAGTGTTGCAGAAAGTTTTGATCAATGAACTCCCGAAATATCAATGATTATCACTTGTTCACAAATCGCTTAATGTATCATAAAATGAAAGATGTCATCGATCTGTTGTATTTTGAAAAAGAAAAAATCATTCAAAAGGGCTTAAAATTGTTCGGAAAAAAGTGTATACATGAAATCAAAATGTTAGTAAAACCGACTGTACGATTCATTTCAATAAAGAAATTCAACATTTAATTTCTAAGCGCAATTCATATCATGATGCAGAAATTTCTTCCGAAAAATATGATGAATTTACTTTGCTACACGCATTGAAATGAAACGCTCGAATGACAACTATAACTTGTCTTCCTTTTATTCAGATACCATATAAAAAATAGTATGTATGTCATGTGAATTTCTTCGAACTTCAAGAAAAGAAAAAAAGGAAACATGATAATTACCTAACATACAAAAGCAAACACAGCTGATCCAGGCCACCCGTATTAAAAGTTTTGACTATTTCATTCGACTTGATACCGTGAATAAGCTCAAAACTCGGGAAATATTTCAAATTAAAACTTAAAAACAAATATTACTTGTACGCATACAAAAAGTTTTGAAAAAAATTCTCAAACTACAAAGGATTTGTGTTACTAGAATTTGATGATGACGATGTTGAAAAAAGATAGAAAATACCACCAATTCTTCGTATTAATTCATCAAAATTGATAAAATGTGTCAAGATCATTAGCGCTAACCAGGACACAATCACAAACCCAGCGCGGGTCCTGAAAACATAAATCTGATACCAAAATAGAAAAAAGGAATTCAATAAATTGAAATAAACTTAGTAAAAGGTCTCTTGAAGAACCAAAACAATCTATTATTAAAAGAATAATGACAAACCTGGTACCGGTGAAAGGTTTAACAAAATCAAGAGCAAAAGACACAATAAGCAATACAAGCTTGATAAATTCCACCAGAATATTTGTTCCAGAAAGCATTACTGAATTGAATGTTGTTTGTGGTCGAAATTCTGTCCATTCTTTCACATTTACTTCCATTCGTATCATCTAGAAATTGAAATTTTGAATTGTCAAAACTGTGCTACTGTAACATAATATGATCTAGATTTCTTCCTACAATCTATTAACCTTTAGAATATTGTAGAACGAAAAAAGAGAACGCTGATACTTTATGTTACAATAAATAATCATAGCTTTCTTGAATATTTGTTGAGAGATCAACTTTCCAGCAAGATTTAAATTTCTTGACAGTCTCAACGATATACGTAAATATTTTTAAAAAAAAAAATCTGAATTAACAATATGTTATTGCTAGATGAAAAAACAATTTTACCTTATTTTGAGTACTTTCAATGTTCTCTTCAATAGATCGAAAGCGATCGCTGTACTGATAATCCATACGTGTAGCAATTGTGTTGAGATCAGATTTAAGTGCAATTATTTCAGCCTGATGCAATTCAATCGTTTCATTCAACATTTCTTCAAGTCTCTAAAAAAGCACAGATTATGACTAATCTACCTCACAAAATGAGATGAGAAAGATACAAGAATCCGACAAGCAAAAATAAAATTTTTTTTTAAAAAAAAAAACTAACAGCACGCCGACCATAGAGAGGATTCCACAGTACAATCATTTAAAGATAATTCAAATTTTCATTTCAACAAACCTGTGTTTTGATCCTTTCTTCATGAAGCGCATTGTTGAAGTAATTGAATTCGGATTTATTCTGCACCTAAATTTTTTAATGAATTTAATATTTTATAGCAGGACAAACTGTAATAACCGTTATAGCTAAAGATAAGAAAACAATCTGCTCAAGAGTTATTTAAATTTGTTATAATAATTATGCAAATACAGCTCAGAGCTGGATAGCAAAATTACTCACTGCAACAAACCCATTGTGAGAATACGAGAGTACATGAGCCATTTAAAAAAGCTTACAATAACTTCTACTAAACAATTATTCAATCACTCACTTAGTGTTTTCCTGAATTACTTGTTGCCTCGAATTTATTTTTTGCAGATTCTTGCAATACCTCTACTTCTATGATAACCTAATCGTAATAGCTGTCAGCAGTATATTTTCTGAGAATATTATCAAAAGAAGAAAAAAATGACAGTTTAAATATACTTGTAACTTATTAAGCTGCTCAAGAAGTGCCTGATTTTGTGCTTTCAATTCTTGTATATCATTACGCAATTCGACCACAGTATTTGAAGCAGTAAATCCGGCTTCCGATTCATTACGAGATTCTGATCGAGATGAAGTTACTAAGTTATCGAGATCAAATGCCATTGGAGGAAGTGTTTCATTACGCTTATGTCCGCGCTTAACTGGTGATGATCCGACATCGCAATTTTCTAAATTCAACTTACGCGTCCTGAAAAGAAATAATTTTCATTCTTATACAGTAAAATAAAGTAAAAGTAAACAGACAAGGAAATGGTACACAAAGCAAAAAATGAGAATCACCACAACTGAAGAAAAAACAGACCTATCATTAGTTTGTGTATCTGAATAAAAAGTGGAATGGCCCACATTAGATACATCACTTGCAATACTGCCCGGTATATTGTCTGCTGACCCAAAAGTACTTTTGATTATATGTGCTATACCACGTGGTGCAGCTATCACTTCTCGAAGCAATGGACCCGTTTTCCTAAAATTATAATCTCACACTTTTGAGAAACTAAATTGTAGAAATTAAAAATTGTAGAATAGGACAGATTTTGACTCAACAGGAAAAATACTTGTTTAAAGGAACCATCTATTTGATTTTAGATGCAGTGTTTGTGTAACTTCTACATCCACAATGACAAGCAAGGCATCCAGCAGAGGATCTACTGACAAAATTAAGAATTCGTGTAAGTCACCTGGATTCCATCAAAAAACTTAAATGAAAATGATTCGCGAAGAAAAACTTGAGATGAAAAGAAATAAAATAACAGTATTAGTGAGTAGCTGAATAAAATCAAAATCTTACTTTCATTTTTCAAATAGAAATTATCGAATATAACCTAATTTCATATTAAAGAAGATATCTGGGGCAGTTTAACCATCTGACATAATGGTGCCACTGATAAAATAATATACGCGGATTTCAGACAAAATTCTTTAACTGAGCTACTAACCTAATATTATTAAGGACAGCGCTTTTAGATGAAAATTCGGTAACAATTCCCATATTCAAATCCATTAATTTTGACTGCAGCTGTTCCAGTTTCTTCTAAAACAGTATCATATAATTTCTCTTGCAGAGCGTTTAAAATATACTATTATACCAGATATTTGTTTTCAGATTCATTGTGATGAGCTTTACCTGTCGTTGTATGAGGAGAAAAACCGTACCGGCACGGAATGCATATAAAACATACACATAATTTACAACAGCATACTGAAATGTGAGATAACGCCAAACACTTAAATGATAAGATTCTTCATCAGAATGTAGTCAGTAAGATCGGGAACAATACAGATATTTCATCCTTAAAATTAACGTTAAACCAACCTTTAAATGTTCAATTTCTTGCGAACTTTTCTTGTTTTTTTTCTCAAAATGTTGTCGAACCCGGGCTAGTTGTGGATTTTCGCTTCCACCTTCCATACTGCTAGTCATAGACAAGAAATCATCAACATCCGCTGAAATATTGAACATAACCTATCAAATTTGAACCAACATAGACTGAAAAAAGCTAAATAAATTTTATATACTTAAAACCACTCCATGACAAATTCTTACTTAAAAAAACAAAAAAATGACAGTACCCTCTCTGGCAAGAGAAATGCGAGATAATCTTTCTTTGATTTGCTCTATTTTGCGCTCAATGCGTGCCCGATCATCCAAACCAACATCATCCGTACCTCCACCGTGCGATGCTCCTCCATCTGATGAGCGCAAACTGCTACCTAACCATGAACCATCTGACTGAAATTAACTATTTCAATTTTCATGCAAGACAAGTTTATTAAAGTTGTATGCAATATCAATTTGATTTAATGCAATTATCCTTCGATGCAATATTTAATAAGTAGAATGACTTTTCGCAGTTATGAAAAATTGTTTGATGAGAACAACCATAAAACACGTGATTATTTGCAAACTATTGTTAAGGAAAAAATATCGAGTTTCCTGTTATCAGCATGCGATCAACGATGACACGTCATTTAAGTAATCATTTTCGATTTATTATTCGATAATATGTCATGCATATGATTGTTATCACCGTTAAATCAACGGTGACAACGTATTATTACTTTTGATATATGACAAATAATGGTAATCATATTTTTCTTGAAAAAAAGTGACAAAAAAAACCTCGTGATATAAATCGTGCTTTATAACTGGTGCTAACATTTGAAAATTAAATGAAACGATAACACCGGAAGTTGTTAGTATCCGGTTCTTCAGATGATGCCTCAGGCAAACTATAGCAATTGCTGTCTACATTCCACTTTTCCTGCAAAGCGCTACTGATAACAACATTATATAAATCTGAAGTGCTTTTCACGAATTTTCAAGATGTTTCAGATAAACAATTAGGCCAGAATAACAATATGTAATTTGGTACAATAATACATTCACATCAGCGATTCACCTAAATATCATTATAAAACTACTTCATAAAACATCGTAAATTTTATCTCCGCATGCTTGAGTGTAAAAACATGTAAAACACAACATAAGCGGTGAAATAAAAACTATAAAAATGATGTGAGATGGAAGAGAAAGAGATAATATAAACCATAAAATGATTGGTTAACAATGAGTTTAACATCAAGAATCATCAGTTTTGTAACTCTCCAGAAAAAAATAACAACTTCTCTCACCTTTTCCAGACGTTACAATTTAACCTTAATCATCTTTCATCCATAATAGAGTCCATCCATTTTGATGCAGACTGGGATTTTAGTTTTCGTGATGGACTGCTGGATGTTGTATTATAATGTGTGGTTGTAAGATACGGGTGCTTGACGATACCCCGCTATGGGACGGGGAATGCAGGCGAGGTTGGCCAAGGAATGATATGCGTTGTTTTAGATTGCAGTTATTTGGAAAGATATTGATAATCTGTGGGATAACTTTAGCAGCGATAAGTTTAGCATCATAAATTGTTAACTCTTATAATCTTACAAGGAGGTGTGACCTCTCGATCGAATAACTCGACTATTTTTGGATTAGAGTTAGCTTAAGTCTCTTGGTGGAATAATTTCAATGATCGTAATCCGAATTCATTTCCCGTCTATGTTAATTGTTATAACTGTAAATGTACGAGTGCATGAAAGAGCGCAACTTGGACTTGACCAGAGCGTCAGGAGATGTAATGGCTAGATGAATGATGAGGTAAATGCTCGTACGTGACATTTAATTTAGTGGAATGAACTGAGTCATTATTAAAGAGAGAGAGAGAGTGCATAATAGGAGTAGAGTAATGTGAATAATAAAGAAATAACAAAATTGAGAATAATTGGTCATTGAGTTGATGATCGAGAACTTCACGGGATCCGGTGATGAATGGAAAGAAGGATTACAGGTAGCAAACAGCGGGGAAGAAAACGGTGTGATCTATGTTCCATTTTTGACTCCCCTTTTCATCGGTAGGCAGACGCAAACAGCGCTGTCTTTTCACTTTATCGCCGGCATGGTATATTTATCAGTGTTATAAATTTTTTTATTCATTTTGCTTTCGGTGTTATTTGTTGTCGGAAGTTTCAGAGCACGTGGTCTTCTCTAAAATTTGCGAATATATATGTTTATTTCATAATAATTACTGGTTTTGAGTATTTGTTGATGATTGAAATTCGCATAGTATCTGTATAAAACTTCGGCAGTCGTATTTTATTCCAAAATCAATCCATGTGTTACCTGAATATATGTATAATGTGGAAAGACGTGTGACTTGGATATGAAATCTGACTTTAATACATGCGCTAAAAGCTCTTATGGAAATACATTTTGAAACATGGCAGGAAATATTTTCAAAGGAATCATTGAAACTAAGATGTTTCAATGAATGGATTAGATGTTTACAATTGTCATCGTAGAGTTTTTTGAACAATAATCGATACATGAACATTTCCAATGACAGGTTGCTACACTGCTGAAACTACTTTCTATTTTGGGAAATTTAAAAAAAGAAAATAAAAACATTTAATAGAAGACGCAATATTCTACATAAAGTAGCGTAAGTTAATATTGTGTGGTAATTGAACTTGTGACATTATAGTTTCTTTTTTTTTTCTTTGTACACTTTTCAAAAAAAATCAGTAATCAAGCAAGAATTTTACTGACGGACAAAAAAGAGATATGAAATGATAGAAGTAAATTGGTCCGTTTATTTTTTAAATCTAAATAGTTTAGATATCATTATTTTGCAAGTCATTTCTATTCATTTAGTTACATGAGAAAATGATGGGGTGTCGTGTTTAAAAGTCCTGCATGGAATTTTTAGTGATAGAAAGTAATTTGTAGGAATTAAAATACCTATTTAAAATTTAAAACATTAAAATATACATCTTTTTGTAGTGAATATGTCACGTTCGCATGTATTCTCGAATAATTCCGATGGTTGACAAAATATGAGATGGAATTATTCGATGATTTCACTAGCTAATTTGTGAATTGTTCAATAATTCCCTTTAATCACTACGTTACTGCTCGTCTTCAGTGGATTTTTGGTTTTAAAAATTTTTTCATTTCCTGAGAAATGGCATAATATACTTGTAGGCTGAGAAAGTTTTGGTCACAGTGTTTCTAAGCGAATACTAATAAAATCTGATTCCGAGTTTTAACTTGGAAGGAAACAAGTGAGGTCAATTGATACAATATAAGTTCACTGTAACAGATTCTTTGATCATTCTTAATTTTAAATTTTAACAGAATTAAGCAATTCTTTAGTTCAAAATAATTTGAAGTCGAATGTAACGAGTGATGGATTGGATCGAATTGGAATATGTATCATTTCAAATTCCATATTTTTAAGACTGAAGTCTTAAAATACGAAAAACAAGTAGTGAACCCATTTTCAAGAAATCGATATATTATCGATCAGCTATTATCTTTGCACTAAATTTTTCTTGTTTTCAATAGTAATTATATCAGACCAATTTAATTATTCATAGCAGCTTGTCTTCCGGTAATATCATAACTATATATGACTAACAAAAATTCATGACATTAGATATTAATCATTTCATTTAACTCCCAGTTTTTCATTTGTGAATCTGACTTTATAAAAATGGTTTATCCCAAACTATCATAATATCAGATTTCGTACGTTTTCGTTGTTTTTTTATCGTGAAATTTCTTCATGAAAAAGTTTTTCAATTGAAATTATTCATTTTTACAGGAAAGCAAGTTTCTACAGATCGATTCTCGTTGATTTATACAAGAAAACAAGTTTTTACGAATCAAATTTCTCAATCACAGAAGTCAATTTTCATGCGATCGGGATTGAATTGACATCAGGCCATTGGTGAAGAACAAAAGAAAATCGGGGAGTAAAAATCAAAGTAGAACAGTTCAAAGTACAAAAATAGCTGATGACAGAGTGGTGGAAGGAATTTTTTACTGTCGGAGAAATGGTAACAAATGTGGCATATGATATAACTCATTTTTCGTTGGCACTCTTTGCTTACTGCTTTAGTAGAATGCTTCCTGCTAGAAAAGTTTCCAGTTTAACTGGACTTGATCCGATTAGCCCATTGTCGACAAATGTTTGCCGAATTTTGGGTCAAAATCCAGGACCATTTACGCTTCAAGGAACTAATACGTATTTGGTCGGAGCCACTGAAGAGTAAACATTTTACATTTGTTTTTTCCTTATCTTTTTGAAAAATCAGTATAAAAAGACACACTTCAAATTGATTAACTTTAATGCTTTGAAAATTGATTGCTATCATAAGTTCAGGCTCACTCATGTGAAATCATTTACTGAACAATTAAATAAAGTTGCCGATGAATCACTAAAATGATGCGTTTATATATCTGTAGAAATTTCTTCCTATTTTACCACTTAGCTCTCCTTCTTCTCTAGATAGATCTAACTCATAGATGTAATTTGAAACGAAAGGTGATAATTATTTTTTTCTGACATGGTTTTAGCAATTTGGTTCAGATGTATTTTGAATCATCATATTACGACAATAATGAAAAAAGTAATCGCTATTCATGTTGCCAAGATTGATATAACAGGAGAGAATATAGATGAAATAATTGTTTATAGAATTAAGAGGCTACAAAGAAGATAAAGCATTCTTTCGAAATTTCAGTGCTGCCATATAACATTAGTATTATATTTGAAGTATTATATTTGTTAAATGCGTTATCGAAATCTAAACATTTCATCTAGTAGAAAATTTTGTGATATTGGGTAAACAACAAAAAAAATTAAAATTTTTTGATTCGATTTAAAATTAAATTCTATTTGAATTAGAATTGATTCACTTCTGGAAGAATAGAATTTAGAAAGCTGAACTTTCAAAACCTGTTACCTTTGATATTAAATAGTCCAAAATGGAAAACTTTCTATTTTGCTTTGAATTATTGAATTGAGATATAATTTAAGCATGTCTGAGATAATGAATGAGCAAAACTAACAGTACCAATATTGCGCTTGCTTATTCTGCCTACTAATCATTAATTTTGTTTTAAAATCAAAATGTAATTTTTCTTTCGTTTCCAGGAAAATTCTAATTGATTGTGGTGACAGTGGAGTAAAGCAGTACATTGATTATTTGAGGAAAGCATTGGGTAATAATAGAATAAAATCAATTATTTGTACACATTGGCATAATGATCATGTTGGCGGTATACCGGATATTTTCAAACATGTACTTATTCTTTCTACTTTTAAAGCATTTTTAAAGATTTCTTAATTTAAATTTTTAACAGATTTTTTTTCAGAATGTTTTATAACGAATCTTCAATTGAGATTTTTGAGTTGTAGCTGTAACTTGCATTTTTTTGGGTTTTAGCCACGAAGTTAAATTTTTCTTCATTATTATACTTTGTAAAAGTATGAGATTGTTTGATTGCATATAATTACTTATATTAAGAAGGTAAACAAATGCAGGTTTTAGAAAAAATTAAATTCAATCATTAAAGGTAACGAACGGACCAGTACCAGTTCACAAACTTGAAAGAACAGATTCGCCAGAGGTGGGCAACATAAAATTTGATTACATATCATCAGGAAGTGTCATTACGGCTTCTGGAGTGACCCTTAGGCAATGTTTCAAAATTTTCTTATAAAGTTATTCAGCTTTGATCTGCGGTAGGAGTAGACATTATATACATACGGTCAACTCTAAAAGCAAGATAAGTACACATTTCCTCTTGCGTATCAAATATTATGGTAAAATTTCATATCATATGATAGCTTAAATCAAAATTGAATTCGCTGTGAGCGGTTTTGATTTTAAGTATAAATTTGTTTAAATTTATTTGTGCTGAAGTGAAACTATATAGGAAATATGTGATGTTCTTTACGGTTCTGTGATTTATTTACACTAATATAATAGTAAACGGTCTTCCTAAGTTGTAATTATTCCTCTTAGGCTAGACAGTCGGCTATAAATGTAGCATTTTGTAAAATTGTTTTGTATGATTTGAATTTTGATGATTAATTCAATAAGGAAAAACAATAATGAAGTTTTAAATAAATTGCAGATGTATTGCAACACCTGGGCATACATGCGATCATATCTCACTTTACTTTGAAGAAGAAAATAGTCTCTTCAGCGGTGATTGCATACTTGGTGAGAGTAGTTCGGTATTTGAGGATCTGTATGATTATATGCATTCGTTGGAAAAACTATCGAAACTTAGCATTACTAGGTACATGCCGTTAATTTTCTTTTTTGTTAGTTATTCTAAAAAAACGCACACAATTATTAAAAATCTTGCTGTCTATATCTTGATGAAAGATATTTTCAGGATATATCCAGGGCATGGACCAATTATCGAGAAAGGTTTGGAGAAAATTCATGAATATATAACACATCGGAAGAAGCGAGAAGACGAAATATTAAAAATATTGGAAAATAAGGCACCGGCATCTAGCATGCAGATTACCAATTTAATTTATAAAATAAGTTTTCTCAGTGCTTCTTTTGATAAATCCTGAGCAAATAAATTCTATTAATTCAACTAAATGTTTAATTGTGTTCATATTTATCAGTCTTTTTTTCAGGATATACCTTGGTCAGTAAAACTGGGAGCCGTAAATAATGTGAATAAGCATCTAATGAAACTTGTGAAAGAAAATAGGGTTAAACAAGTGGGTTTTAATAGCTATGATCTAAATAACATTCAGAACGCTGATATAAGATAAACAAGTACTCATGCTCATAATTGATATTTTCTTTGTTAATATGTGGAGTAAATATCTAACTTATTAAACAAACAGATATATCAACAAATAAACACGGCAAATTCCAGCTGAAATTTGTTCTTCAGATATGTACTTACGCGGTGTCATATCAGTATTTTCTGCAGATATCACCACAAAAAAAGCAAAATTTACTAAACAAAAACATTATTTGTCTTTATAAATTTATTAAAAAAAAGAACGTTAAATACCTCTATAAATTAAACAGGTGTCATGCAATATCCGTCATAAGGACAGAGCAAATACAATTTTTTAGTTAAAGATGAAAAGATTATGTATTTGATACTAAGAAGTAACTAAAACTGGTACTCAAATACTAAGTTTTTGCAAGTGTTGAGTAATATTGAAAAGAAGAGGATGATGAAATCATGATCAATTATTTGTATTATCAATAAAAATATATAAATTTTAGGCTAACACTAACCGATAAATGAAAAATAACACTTAGTTTCCCAAAAAAAAGCAAAATATCCGTAAGCTGTGTTAAGGTAAAAGTTCGCGATAACCACTACATCCATACTGACATAACCATTTAATTCAATTCGATCCTTTGTTGAGTTTATTCAACTAAATTTCATATATTATTAAATCAAGTCACTGCAATTACTTAAAAATACACTCTTATTTTGATGATACAGAAAGAACATTTCAATGTGCTAGACGCACTACAGGTTATTTAAAGCTTTTTACCGTTTAAACAGTCTGAGCTATATTTATCTTTTGCATTACGATGAAATTACTTCTCTTCACAGGAAGTAATCAAATCGATGACATACCTTAACTGACAGTCTTTATCATTCACACATTATTTTCTCGAGTACTTAACGTGAATGATCGAAATACGTTCACATAAGTTTAATTTTCCTTCAAAGTTATTGGTGATTGCTATGATTCCTGCTATCAGTTCTGTAGATTTGAAAAAATGTGATAATGATCAGTTTAGATTTAAAATATACATCTATTATTGATCTAATATTTTCACTTATGATTTATCTTATTTAAATCTCAAATAGTTAATCGTTTTATTATAAATTAAATATACATAAATTATCGTTACATTACATATCTGAAAGTGTTGCAAATACGAAAACTTGAATTGCTATCGATGAAGGTTTTGCTGTTTTTCCAGTTTTTTTTTTTTTTTGTTTTTTTCGTCTTATTTTAAAAGGAGGCGAAAAAGAAAATAGGTGAAGAAGTGTTCCACTAACATTCGCAATTCAAAGATGGAAATATACCACAAATTTGTTTACCTGTCTCTCCTTAAATCAATTCATTCACCATTAATTTTACTTAACCAAACTCTCTTACATCTCTCTAAATTGATCGATTATGAAATCATCTTTATTTCTTCTTCATCATATAAATACCTAATTTCGCCTTTCCCAAACAATCATCATCATTTATGATCTATCTGTTTACATTAATCGCTCATTTCTACGCCTATTCTCATCCATTCATCATCCATCCATCCGTCAATTCATTCAATACAGATTTTTGAAATTTAAAATTATCGTACTTTTCCATCTTTCCTTTCATACTTTCCTATTTCTTCAAATATTTCTATCAGAAAATATCAGATCAGAAAATCAGAAAATAAATGTATTATTGTCAAAAAATTCGCTCAACAAATTTCCATAGAAAAAATAACACAATGAGAAGGGGGGAGAGAGAGAGAGAGACAAAAAAAGATATTCTCGATTTTTTTTTTATTTTTCCAAACTTTTAAATCTTTTAAGTTTTGCGATTTTTTTTTTGCATAGCTCGATTTTCTGAATCAACATTTTAATGGATTATTTAATTGAGAGTTCATGATCACTTATATGCAAAACTGGAGATCAATCAAATTATTCCACTTATAAATCATTTATGAAACGGTAATAAATGAAGATAACTTCATTCATGTAATGAAATATCATATTATTCATTACCATCTCAGAATATAATATTTTTACCATTCAACTTTTCAAATAATCAATAAATTATATTTCAAAAAAAAAGAAAAAAAATTTTTTTCTCATGATTAAAAATTTAATTTGATGGAAGAGAAATGGATAGAGAGAAAATTAGAAAAGAACCAAAAAGTTTCCCGCTTGGAAAAAAGAAATGAAAAGAGATAGAACGATTGAATGGACGAATGCTTCGCAATCATTTCTTCGTGATTTATCAGCCGAAAAAGTTTTCGCCCCATCCGTGCCACCATCACCCAATCATTATTTTATATTTCTTTCAACCGATTTCAAAATGCTCTCTTCCGTTAACATTTTTTTGAACGAAATCATAAAAAGCAAATGATTTATATGAACAGGTATATTTGAGAATGTTAACAAATAAATTGACAATCAATCTCGTGATAATAAATTCATCTCATTTAGAAAGATCAACGTGACATTAACATTTTGCAATCATTCTTTTCTGTCCTCCAACCTCTCTCATCTATCGATTCACCATTTGCTGAGCAGATTATTTATCATCATTTATTCCTTCAAATTTCAATATTACTAATATTGCACAGCTCAATAATAATAATATTATTGTTGTTATCGTTGTTGTTATTGTTTGTTTTTAGCGTTATTTGTTGTTTTTGTTGTTATTATTGTTAGTTTGCGGATCAATCACGTACTTTTATTATATGTCATTTTATTTTTTCAAAATTGCTGAAAGACAGGTGGAAAAGAAGAAAATCGCATATATAAATATGTTAATCGATTAATTCTTATTCATTTCAATTTAATTTATCATATTATCATATCTTTTAGTACTTTCAGCAATAATGTTCCAATTACCATAATGCCTGAAGCAATATTTGGAGGACGTTTTATAGCAATTATTATTACAATCTTTGATATTTGTGCTGTCAAGAATGGAAATATTGCGATAGGTGCGAAAAAAATATGGACCGAACAAGATGAAGCTCGAAGGATCCAACAGGTTGTTCGGTACATTTCGTTTGATTCAATTCATTTTTCATTTTGATTAAAATTTCTGAACTATTTGAATTAAAATTTTGAAGCACTTTAATTAAAATTCTGAAATAAATGTTTGATTCAATCTGCAAACAAAAAATCTCAATTCAAATTCATTTATTAAAGTTTCAGGAGCAAAAAAAAAACAGGCTTTCCATAAATATTACTTTTATTGATCGATTCCTTTCTCTAACAATAACTGCCGAAATCATTTATAAAATAAATCTATCTCTCAGCACTTTTCGACATTATCTCATCTAAAATCTTCCATTTTCCATCACATAGAATGAGCGCATTTGTCCTTCATCTCGCTCCCATCATCGATGTCACCCTTTCATTATGGCGACAATTTGTTTGACATTCTTTAACAGTCCACTTGAATATAACATTAAAATGACACCATTTAAAATGAAAACAAGAAAAAAAATTCTTTTATTCAGATTAAGAAATATTCCAAAATTCTCAAAAAAGTTTTTTCATTTAACTAAATTAAAAAATTGCAAAAATTTCAATCTTTCTAACTAATAAATTGTAAAAGAATGAAATGAAATAAATTGAAGATAATGGAAGCAGAAGAAATGGAATATGAAATGGAACAACGATCTCAGTCTGCTATTAATGGTATAAATGATGGTGACACAGTACGGGAAGATTATCATAATTATCCAATAATTGAACCTTATCAGTACAAAAAAGAAACTTTACCAACAGTTACATTTTCCAGTGTGATAACTACCACATCAGGTAAATTTATTGATATAATTTAACGTTTTATCTTTATTGAATATTGAATAAAATTTAAGTGAATGTAGTATATCTTTAATGAATAAAGCAGAAATACGATCTTTATTGATTTGATCGATAAGAGTAAATCTTTTACTCTACAACTATTTTAGTTTTATCTTTTTTTTTCATCCCCTACTGTCCATTCCAAATAAATTCCACACAAAATTAATTTAATTATCAAGTTTAAAAAATTGAAAACTTTTCAAATATCATCATTTTGTTTTTGGCCGATCGAAATAAACAGATGATCTGAATGGAAAAGATTCTCATAATTTTCCATAATGATAGAGTAATTTATCGGTGTGATATTTATTTAGACTGAAATGTTTGATGATATTTAGAAAAAAATTAATTGAGGGAAAATGGGATAATTTAGCATTTTAGATATTTTTATTATACTTTAAATGTAATGAGAATATTTAAAGTATTAAAATTTTGAATTATATTTTGAAGTAAAATTTCTTAATTCATAAATATAAATATATGTTTTTAGATATAAATTTTCCTAAGTATATATTTTTTGTGTTACAAATAGCTTAATTAATTTAATAATTGATTTCCTAATTAGTATTGCATATGTGAAGCCGTGTGCTCTCATAATATAATGATCAATTTTATCGATTATTTGGAAAAAGTAAACTTTCAGAGTAGCTAATATCAAATGATATAAAATCTGAGGAATGAGCTTAAGGATATGACATAAATTTTTTTTAATTTTCAAAAAAAATACTTTATCAATATTATCTCACAGATAATACCTATTGGTGCTATCATTGTACGAGTCCATTAAGCGTGATGAGTGGAAATATGCAACGTGCGATTGAAAAATTTTTACGTATACGTCGAACAGTTTATCCAGTTCAAGTAAAAAACATGCGATGCTCAGAGCCACGTAATTTGACGGAATTAGCTGTGCAACACTGTCGACATCCATACTGTCAAACATTAATATTGACAGATCACGAAACGGGCAAGTTTCTTATCATTTCATTCATAAAGATATTTAAATGATCAATAGCAATTTTTCAATTGAACATTACCATTTTTTATTTGAAAAATTAAGAATTTACTAAGCATTTCGAATTCAAAATACAATAATTACTATTATCGCGTCGATTATGTTAAACCTCGTAAAATTCTAATCCTTATTTTAAATATCTTTTTATTTATAATATTCATACAAGACATTTATATCAAGCGGTAAAGTAAAAACATTCACATCGCTTACCTGCCTTAAATTCTCTTCAATTTTATAAATGATTTATT